ACGTTTCGTCATTCGACAAATGACTGCTTGAGACAGACTATTACATTTACACACTACAAATTTTGTCCCTAATATCAATGTTATTACTTGAAAAAACTTGATGAACTCGCCGGTTTTTACCGGTCTGGAAATATTTTTAGACCGGTCGGTGACTGCCCGGATCGGACCGGTCTAGTATTTCCAGACCGGTTACAACTCTGTTATGCACCTGATTTTGACTGTTTTTTCGAAAGCAAACATTGACATCAAATTCAGCGTAACGATTACCTATGCTCCATGCAATTTGAAGGTTACGTCAAATCACCAGGTACCAATCCTATGGCTTCAAGAAAAGTTTATACCACTCTTGAACCACTGAAAATCGAGGTGTCACTTGACTCCCATTTTGAAAACGACACCCTGAACCGTCTACTCATGAAAAAAACCAAAATAGTTGTATTTGAAGTTTTTGGGATGTGATCTGATTTTCCGAGGATTTCTTAAAAATCTACTTTAAAGAAATAATTCTGAATTAATACTTCCTTCTTACAATAAGATACCTCCTCTGTTGAATGACGAAATTTGAACCCTCTAGTTCTTTTCATTCTCGAGCAATTCAGAAAATGCTCCTTGCACTTCATTCTTTCATTGGACATAAAGTAAAAATTAGTACAAATTAGAGATCTAATTTTTGTTTTGTCGTTCATGTCCGTCCAGGTAAGCCGTTTTATCACGCCCTAATTATGGTATGTTAACAGTCCGTTAACAACATCCTTTTTGATGACTTGGAAGGAAGTGGAGAAAGATGCTAAAATTAACTAAAGATGACTTTTTCTCTTTCCAGAAGATGAATCAAAGCAGGTAAGTTGACGCCTACAGTATTAATCATTTTACAGTAGTGATTTTAACTTCTTTTTTAGTTTTCATTTGACTATTCTTACTGGTATGAACTCTAATTACAACAATTAAATTAAATGTCATGATTATGCGATTTTTTGTTAAGGTCACACGATGGTTTTATTGAATCTCCCACAGGTGAACTCACTGCCATAAATGGTTCACAATATGCATCACAACAACAAGTGTTCGATGATCTAGGACGAGATGTAATAAACAATGCTTTCGCAGGTTTGAACTCTCTTTATTCTGAATACTGAATAATCGTCTTAACAAAAATTCTAATCAATACATCTTATGGCTGTAACTGAACTATTTATATTGAAACTGCAAAAAATATTCGAAAATTAAAATTGTTTCGAAATAATCAAGGGATCTACTATTAATTAGATTAAACTAAATTAACTTTGAAAATTCTTGATTATTCATAGACGAACTTTTTATTTCTTTTCAGGATTTAATTGTTCCTTGTTCGCTTATGGACAAACCGGAAGCGGAAAAAGTTATTCTATGATTGGTTATGGGGTTAATCGGTGAGAATTACGTTATTTCTTTTAATTTAGCTGAACTTGTTTTGTTTTTCAGTGGAATAGTACCAATAGCATGTGATGAATTATTCAAAAGCATTCGCGAAAATGAGAATACAAAAACAGTATGTTTAACACAAACTTGGTTAATTTTCAATAATACACTACTTTAATCATTTTTCAATCTAGCGTTATGAAGTCACTCTATCAATGTTGGAAATATATAATGAACAAGTGCGTGATTTATTAACAAAAGAATTTCAAAAGGGCGGTCTAAATGTTCGGCAAAATCAAACATCCGGCTCCTTCTATGCTCAAGGACTCCGATGCATACCCGTTGGCAGCTATTCGGATATTGAAAAACGAGTTATCGAAGGAACAGAAAATCGAACTGTAGCGGCTACGAATATGAATGCCACAAGTAGTCGGGCTCATACAGTGGTAACAATAACGTTTGATCAAATTTTAACGACGGATGTGGGCGAAACGAAGAAAACGAGCGTCATTAATCTCGTGGATCTAGCTGGTTTGTTGAACACTAGAATTTAAGATTAGTTTAAAAAACACTTTTCAATATTTTAGGATCCGAAAGAGCAAATGCTACGGGTGCCACTGGTGATAGACTGAAAGAAGGGGCCAATATTAACAAGTCTTTATCGGCTCTGGGAAATGTTATTTCGGTTTGTAGAAAGAAATTACTATAATTGTAAGAAATGTTTAATAAAAATTCATTTTTAGGCATTAGCTGATCTATCTTCTGGTTCAAAACGAAAGATTGTCGTGCCCTATCGTGAATCCGTACTCACTAAACTGTTACAGAATGCACTTGGTGGTAATAGGTTAGCATAAAGTTATACTAGTTAGTTTCCAAAAAGTTTATGATCATGATGGTTGTTTAGTAAAACTGTAATGATTGCTGCTCTATCACCAGCCGATATTAATTATGATGAAACATTATCAACACTCCGTTATGCTGATCGAGCAAAACACATAAAAAATACCGTTGCTATTAATGAAAATCCAGTGGAGAAACTCATTCGTGAATTGAAGGTAAGCAAGTATTTTTTCAGAAGATATAATGTGAATTATGCGTTATTTAATTTCAACAGGAAGAAAATGATCGATTAAAACTGCTAATTGATACGGGAAAATATAATTTTACCCTTGATCCAAAGCCCGGTGCTACAAGTCAAGAAATTGAAAAAATTCGGAAGGACATAGAAGATGAAATTTATGCACAAATTCGTATGAATCAACAAATATTACAAGATACAAAAACACCATGGGAAACAAAAGTAATCGACAAAATTTCAAAAAAAACTTTTTCTCTACTTATCTAAAATATTTTACTAGTTGAAAAATGCTCGCTCTGATGGTAGTACAAGAATATCGTCGTCTGATAAAAAATTACCATACTTAACAAATTTAAATGAAGATCCAATGTTATCCTATGTGATATGTTATTATTTAAAATTAGGCGAAACAACAATTGGTAGTAAACAATCGACTATTTGTTTAAATGGGCTTGGAATACAAGAAAAACATGCTATTATCAATTTTTCCGGATTTGATCAAATTGTCATTGAGGCAACAACACCAGGAATTAAAATTAAAATTAATGGCTACAATTTGTCAGGGTAAGAGGCTAATCACAGAAAAAGCATAGAGCATTATCTAATGCATATCAGTCGTCACTTCACTAGTCGATGTATTTAGCAGATAAATGTTTCTTTTGATGCAACTAGATGCCGTTGGCCATGAACTAATAACTGTATCGGATTGAACTTGGGGTGTCCAGTTGTATCAAGCTATACATCTAGCAATGCAGCTGGCTCACCTAGAGCGTCTAGATGAAATGGACCAATACGTCGGCTAATCCTTGAGGAGTTTTTCGATAAATTTTATCCACGACTTACAGTTTTTTCTCACGCTTACCGAGATAAAAAGATTCACCATGACAATAAACTTGTTTATCATAGGAAAGATTTTTATCGTGATATTCCTCAATCCTCTTTTATAAAAGTTTGATCCATTTATGCAGCTGTTATCAAATAAAATTGCCGTGTATAGGACATTACGTTAAAGCGAAGACAAAAATATAGTTGTGTATATGTTAACTTCCAAAGTGAAATTCAGTCATTGTAATACTGGCCTAGGCCAAAGTCAAATTCCATTTTGAACTAGTCCACAAGTCTATTTTCACTTTCGCCTAGAGTTGCTTAAGGCCAAAGTCAAATTTCAGTATGAACTAGTCCAATCTTAGATTCGCCTGGTGTTCAGTCCAATGTGACATTGGACTGATACTTTTTATTACATTTTACTTTGGACTAGTTCATACTGAAATTTGACTTTGGCCTTAAGCAACTCTAGGCGAAAGTGAAAATAGACTTGTGGACTAGTTCAAAGTGGAATTTGACTTTGGCCTAAGCCAGTATTACATTAAACTGAATTTTACTTTGGACGCTAACATACAGAGACTGCTTTCTTTCGTTCATTCAACAAAATCTTTTTTTTTACTCCCTTAATAAATGGAACAAAAAGTGAAGAAGCCCCCCTCTGGCCAAAAAACAATCGAAATTTCTGTCCTTTTCCTGCCCACTCGACCCTCTGGTCCCTAGCGAGATTTTTTTTCTTGCATCTGTAATGCTTTCGCTGATTAAGTAGTATAGATATATTTCTCAAGCTAATATTTATATTTTTATGGCTTCTTGGTTTTCATTTTTTTGACTATTCCTTCTCGATGAACTTCCTCATTAACGAGCTATTTCAAAATATTCGACTGGAAACATCATCGTTTTTTTTCTCTCGAATAGTCCAACTCACCTTGAACACAAAGATCGGATCCTATTCGGTACGTATACCTACTATCACTAAATTAGTTTACATGTCGAATAGTAATTGTTTTAGGTGCATCGCATATGTACGTGTTTATAAATCCTTTTCAAATGAAACCGGTAGATCCGAATTTACCAGTAGTAATTACATGGGCATATGCTCAAAAAGAAGTCGCAAAAGCCAAAGGTTACAATACAACAACCACAAATTTGACAAAAGGTATGCGTGCTTGTCTTGCTTCTCAAAAAACCTGTTTAAAATTGCCAATGTATGTTATTCTTAATTGAAGAACAAGAAGATACTCAAGAAAAAGTATTAAATTTATTACCGGTGCTTTCGGAAGTAAATGCAATTTCTGAAGAACTAAATAAATATCGTGCATTTGAGATAGTTGTAATGCCAACTGCTTCATGGGAAGCAGTCAATGTGAAAGGATCAAAGTAATATATAAATTATCTCAGTTAGTCTTCAGATAGACGGTTTTTCTTTTCTTGTAGAGTTATGATAAAAATGCGTAATTTATTAAATCAGAACGCATGGTTTTGGGATGAAGTCAAATTTATGAACAGAAATTACATAATAAAAGTAAGTTTTTTCTTGGGAAATGTACTTTTGATCACCAGATGGTGAAAAGCTGCGCTAACTTTCTTGAACGTCCTTTGTTAAAGTTTCCGTAGTGTTTGAATACGCTCACTAAGTCAAATGAAATAGTCAATCCACTCGAATATTTACATAAATATTGTTTTATACCAACTGAATGTGTGCAGGACGTAGCGATATTACTAACTAACAGGATTGTTGCCATATCAGAAAATTATTGAACGTAAGACACCGATGAGAACGATAAATATCCAACCAAACTAACGGTTAGATTATCTATTTTATTTAACTTCTATTAAATTAGTGATAAAACACGTATTCGTTCATTAGAGAAACAAAAAAGTAAAGAACATTTAAAGAAAGTTAACACTACTTATCATTTGTAAATATGTTGTTTTTCTTTGTTTTGTAAGGTGCCGGAAATGTAAAAAGTCAGCAAAATTTATTTTTCACTAGATACTTATTTATATTTCCAAAATTACTTTTTTCTGATTCTTCATCAAAAAATGAGTCTAAAACACTATATGTGAACATTTTCAAACCCTCCCTTGGCTCATGCAGCATGGATCATGTTGCGTGAGCCAAGGGAGGGTTTGAAAATGTTCACATATAGTGTTTTAGACTCATTTTTTGATGAAGAATCAGAAAAAAATAATTTCGGAAATGTAAATAAGACAAGAACACTTCCGGCATCTTACATATTTTTGTATGTGGGTTGAGAAACGAATAATCTTCAGGGTGTTGATCACAATTTAGTGATCATATATATCCAAAATTTTGATAATGAAAAAAATTCCTATCCTTTTATTTCATATCTTCAGTCAGAAATAAAAAAATTCATACCTGATGAGATAAAATACATAGTGTAAAACACAGGCGACTGTAATAAGGAAACAGAATGCGAAAAATGTGTCCTCCACACGGAAAGAATATGATTGAAACGATATATCATCGCACTGTAAAAAATCAAGTGTGCCACACACACTTCCGTCTATAATGGCTAGTGAAAGTACTGAATGTGTATCTATCTTCAGACTTAGCTAGTTTCTAGAGAACACCCTCAATGGTACGCCTATGGGATAAAATGAAATTTGGTCAAGTATTGACAGTGTTAGTAATTAATTAAGCTTAAATTATAATTAATATCTGAATTGCTAGTCCCCCTTTTCGAAGCCTTGCAGTTCTATCAAAAATGATCGTAAAAACGTCATTCTTGCGTAGTTTGAGAGTCACTGATCTACGGTTATAGTTTAAAAAAAATTTAAAATTATCTTTTTATGGTATTAGATTATAATTAATAAGTGCTAATTAATGCTAATTAGGGTCACTTTGGTGTCTTACACTTCTATTTGTAAGTTACCGATTCCTGGCGATCGTGAACGAATTTATCATTTGACAGAGATTTTCGAGCGCTACAAAATTCTGTATTTGCTTTGCCAAAAGTTACTAATTAACAGTTATTTTTACCCATTTTTAGGTATATTAGATTTCTAAGTGATTTATTACTGTGTACAGAAACCATTTTTAAATAACTTTTGACTGACAGTAGCTA